ATAATAATAATGTAATAGTGCTAATGGTGAAAAACTTTCATCATTGGTCCAAAAATTTCAAAGAAAAGGTGATATTTGCGTAAACACTATGTAAATTTAGTAAAAAAAAATTTTTGTTTATATCATAAACGTAAATATACATATGTAAATGTAAATGAAAAAAGGAATTTTGCAAATTTTTAAAAAAGGTAATAAAGCAGAAAGCTATTTATTTCGAAAAAATAAAACATCTGCGCCTTTTCCATCGTTACTATTTTGCAGTTTTCCTTTCATTTCATAGAAATGTTCCCAAAAAATAAAAAAAAGTAAAAATAAGAAAAAAAGTTGAAAATTTTCTGTCAAATTATACTAATAATAATTTTTTGAAAAAATTATTACCATTATAATAATGATATTTTTGAAATACAGCCATAAATATTATAAATGAATGATATTTTCAATCAATATTCATCTTTAAGATATGATACATTTTTTAAAATTTAACAAAATATGAAAATTTTAATTCTAATTAATCTGTTTTACTAACTGCATAAATCCGTTTTTTTAAATGTTTTCACTCTTTTTCCTGTATTGATAATATTTGGATGAAATTTTACAAAATTCGAACATTTGAATTTATGAATAAATTTCCTATCAGAAATATAATATTTTAATATGAGATAAGAAAGAAAGAAAAAAAAAAAAAAGAAAACAGAATTACAATAACAGAAATGATTGTATATAATGATGCTATAAGCTCTAATTTCTATCAGTTATGATTTTTGATGCTAATTCTAGTGAAAAAGATTAAAATGAGAAAGGAGAGAGAATTTTGGTTGCAGAACGGGAAAAGGAAAAAAGACAAGATAGGATGGCACTGACAGGACCGCCGCAGACTAGTACGCATTTAACCCTTTCCGCTTTTCGGAATTACATATCCATCAATAGTTCATAACTTCTTCCTATCTCGATCCAGGTCAGCTTATCCAGTATTTTTCGTTAAATTATCAAACATTTAATAGAAGAATTAGACGAGGGAAAAGGTCAGAAGAGGGAGAGAGAGAGAGAGAGAAAGAAAGAGAGAAGATAAAGATGAATGATTTTGATTCAAGAAAAAAAAAACTATAAATTTGGCTGATATATTAATTAAATTATTTGAAAATTTACTTTTTTTCTCCACTTCATTCTTCTATTTTTTTTTCTTATCATATTAACGTGTTAGAGATGAAAAGAATATAATTTCAAATTTTTGTGCTTTTTTTTTTTCATTTTTAATTAATACATTCATTGATCGATCGATTAATCGATCGACTAAGTGAAAATGATATTTAATTCTTGCTAAATTCATATTCCATTTGTAATGTAAATTTATTTAATTACATTCATCATTTATATGCTAATTAATCATTTTACATGGTTAAATTATCAATAACTAATCAAAATATTAATAGCTAAAATACTGACAACTATTAATGACTAATAATCAAATTATTAATAATTAATTTTTTTTAAAATCTAATTTAGTATTTGAAATTATATAAAATAAATTATTTTTATTATTTATTACACATGCAATTATTTTCCTTTTTTATATCCATCCTTTTTTTTTGCTTTTTTTTCTAATAATAACAGTTTGTTTTTGCATTTAATGAATTCCTTTTATTTTAATTACTTTTTTTTTTGCCATTTTTCTCATTAGTAGTTAAATTGATTGTTAACAGTAAGTGGTTTTGATGAGAGAGGAAAAAATAACATGAATAATGCACTGGAACATCTTAATAGTTTGATTAATTTAAATTAGGTTAATTACTTAATAGATAAAAAACTTTAAAGAAGTTAGAAAATGTATTATCAATTTAGGATATTAATTGCTAGCATAAATTAACTAATTGTAAACAGAAATAAATATTCGTATTTGTTGCGAATTTATTTCATCACAAATTTGATCTTTGATCCAAATTTTATTTTAAAATAAGAAAAAACTATAGCAAATAGTCTCAACTAACTTTCATTATTGTTTTTTTTTTTTTTAATAATGTGATCTAATTTTTATGATTTACTTCTTTTTGTTTTTCAATTTTTCTTTTTTCGAACATTCCAAAAATTTACAATTTTACAAAATTATTAAATCAAAAATTTTCAGTTTCATTAGCTAAATGTTATTTTAACAAAAATGGATGATGACGATGAAATGATGGATCTAATTGATACTGAATTACTTAGTTCGGAAGAAGAATTTGGTTATACAACCATTCCACAACCATCAACATCATTTTTTAATACTCCACCTAATTTATTTTTCACATCCTGCCAACTATCTGATTTATTCCTGCAACAATTTCCATCATTACAAATGCCACAATCAATGAATGAATTAGCATTGCAATATCTTACTGCACCATTAATACAATTAACCGGAAATGAAATACTACTAGAACCTGAATTAATTTCATCCGAATATTCCAAAATAATCACATCTTTATCCGCGCAATCAATCAATGAAGCATTTCATCCGGTATCAGAATTATTAAATTCTATAGCCTGGGATCAATGGCTATGCTATTTAGCCAAATCATTAACTCCAGCCCAATGGCAACTATATTGGATGAATTATTTAATGTTATTTGGTACCATAGGCTTACCTCAACATCTTGTCAATTTCTTTGCAACCGCTACTACATCAAATTTTTCCTATTCATCTAATTTATCATCATCAGTGTTGCAAATTAAAGCTAATTGGATGCTCTTACGACAACAATTCTATGGTATGTACTTTCGCTTTTTATTAATTTTATTTTCATTTTTATCTTTTAAAATTTCATCCAAATTTTCAGAATAATAATTTTGCATAATTTTTATTAAAATTAAACCATCAATTAATCTAACGATGTTAACGGTGAAAGAAAAAAAAAGTGGAAAAGAAAACTCTTTAATTTATAAAAAGTATTTTGATTTTTTTTAAAGCAATTGTTAGATGAAATCTTTTAAATTTAGATTAAATCTGGATCGAATTATATTACATCTTTTGAATTATAAATGGAATTTAGTCGTCTTTTTTCTTTTTTATTGTCACTAAATTCATTTT